CTTATGAGTCTAAGTTACTTTTCGTTTTCCCTTTTTCAACAGATAAGCAACTCCACCAACCTGAAACAAATCCGCCCAACACATCCTATAACTCAAATACAAAGTAAAAAGGATGTAAACAAGATGATAACCATCTACCAACATCTACGGACACATATCCGGATCACTGTACAACAAGGGTAAACCCGGGATCGCTATAAAAACAGAAACTGCCCCAAAGAAAACAACACACAAAAAGAGCAAAAGAAACATTTCTTTAACAAAAACACGAACCCTTCCACCCACAGAGAGAGAGAGAGAGAGAGAGAGAGAGAGAGAGGGTACAGACGGGTATGTATATATATATATATATATATATATAGATGTGTGTATGTGAAGAAGAAAAAAGGGAAAGACTAAAGAGATCGTGATGAAATCAGGGGTCACAAATATTTCATGATATTCTCGGGCCATTAGGATACGATTGCAGAGAGATGTTTCTATAACTAACACTTACACCCTTAAGGAAGGAGTTAATACCCCAGAATAAGCCATAACCATTTAATCCAAATCTACGAAATTCTGTTTGATTTTTGTTAATAAAAATAGATTTTTTTTCAATAACTAATATCATTTTCTTTTTTCTTTCCACAAATTTTTCATCATCATTCTCATTTGTTCTTGTTATATATATGTATGATTTTTTTGGATTAGATTTGTTGTTGATTTCTTAAATGGGTTTGATAAGTGGTTTGATTTCTTGAGTTTTAAGAAATCAACAACAAATCTAATCCAGGAAATCATACATATATATAACAAGAACAAATGGGAATGTTGATAAAAAATTTGTGGAGAGAAAAAAGAAAACGATATTAGTTATTAAAAAAAATCTATTTTTATTAACAAAAATCAAACAGAATTTCGTAGATTTGGATTAAATGTCATGGGTTATGGCTTATTTTGGGGTATTAACTCCTTGCTTAAGGGTGTAAGTGTCAGTTATAGAAACATCTATCTGCAATCGTATCCCAATGGCCCAAGAAGATCACGAAATATCTGTGACCCTTGATTTCATCACGATATCTTTACTCGTTTCCTTTCTTCTTCTTCTTCACATACACACATCTACATCTATATATATACATACCCGTCTGTACCCTCTCTCTCTCTCTCTCTCTCTCTCTCTCTGTGGGTGGAAAGGTTCGTGTTTTTGTCAGAGAAACGTTTCTTTTGCTCTTTTTGTGTGTTGTTTTCTTTGGGGCAGTTTCTATTTTGTTTTTCTTTTCCAAGGTTTGTGTTTGGTTCTAGAGAAAGCAAAGGAAAATGGCTTGTTCATCATCAAGTAAGATTATTATGGAGAAAGAGGAGAGGTTGTAAATAATTTTATGGTGTTATGCATATAACAACCTTCACAATCCAAAATCATAAACTATCATGATTTTCACAAATAATAATATAATGCAGAAAATAAATAACATACCCGAATCAGTTATGCAAAACCTTTGAGTGACCCAAAATTGATTGAACATAAACCTAATAATAATATTAGTAGAAAAGGGTTTCTCTCTCTTGACCCTCTTCAAAATACATTGAATTCAGAATCATTGATGGGTAGTCTGAATGTCCTTTTATAGGTAGAGAGAGGACCAGTTTCCTTTTTCAACAATGATTCCACTTTCCCATTAAATTAGGATATTTGGAAAACACTCTTCTTTATTTACCAATTAATTGTAGCAAAACTATAGAATCATAATCCTGCCAAATCTCTAATTCATATTACCATATCGTGTGGGTCAACATAATGACTAAATAATTAGTTTAGTCTTACATTCTCCCACTTGGCCTATATGATAACTTACATCAAGATTTAATAAGGTTAACATTAAGCACGCAATAAACCATATTCAATATTACATTTAATTTGGTTATCATCATAATACTATAATTAAATAGTTCGCTAATGTGAGTCATGGCGGTTCTATACCATAGTCCTTTCCATGTACTATAACACTAGCAACTAGTTTAATATAGCCCTTTAAGTGAAGAGTATAAAGAGGTCAAACGATAATGTCTTTTTATGAAAGACTATTCATGTTATCATTCATTCATTCTCATATATGTACATACTTGTTTCATAACATGAAATATATCAGAAACACAATTAATGAGATCTCAATGTGTCAACAAACACAATCAATCATAAACAACTGTTATGGAGTACATTCAAGACCCAATTGGCAAGTTTCTTAATTGTCTTTAAGAGTAATCCTTTCATCAATAGATCTGCACTTAAAAGTTATGTACTTATGTGTTTTATTGACACTTTCTGTTTCTCAAATTCTTCTTTAACGAAAAAGTATTTCAATTATATGTGTTTAGCGTCATTAGAATACTTATCATTCTAAGAAAATAAAACAACTACGAAATTATCACAATAAATTCTCAAGGACTTGGCAATAAAAGTCGACAATCCCAAGTCTTGAGATAAAGTTTCGCAACAACAATACATAAATTGTGGTCTCAAAGCACACCACAAATTAAACTTTCATAGAGGATACTTATGACAGTTCGTTTTACACTTTTCTTAATACATAAAAGAAACAAAGAACCAAGAGTGAATTTTTCACTTTCAATATATCATCTAAAGTCTGAATCTAAGTAGCCAATCAATTCATGATTATCAGACTTCTTAAATGCGAGCAAGTAATCTTTTATTCCTTATGATTACCTTATCACTTCCTTATTTGAGCATTAAATTTCATACAATAAATGTATAAAGAATCATTTCCATTCTAATTGATTTTATAAAAATATGCATAAGACTGGATTTATTTCCTTTCGAAATATGGATAACTTTATGTGAATATTCTCTCATTTTGAATCTCTATAGAACTTTTAATATATATATATATACCTGTAGGGGAGTGGTTCTGGAAATACTCTTTGGATCCAATGGGGCACTGGAGATCCTCAGCTAGTAACCTGAAAAAGAATGAACACTCCGGTCAGGGGTGCCGGAATTAGCACTCCGACGGGTAAGTCAGTATATACTCTCTTGATTGTTTGTATCTTAAGTTAAACGTACTTCTTTTGTGGCTGTTCTTCCTGTATTTATACTTGCCCCCTAGGCCTCAGGGTCTGGCCCACTTTTAATCCACCTTGTCAATGCTCACTTGGCTTTTTTCGTTATAAATCAATTCTCGCTCAGCTCCTCGCTTAACTGGCTCAGGGGCCGATTAAGTAGTTCTTCAGAAAGATGCAAAGTGGGACCAAATAGGGATGTTCATTCAATAAGCTTCCAAGTATGTACACGGCCCCTTCTGCAGTCCTCAAAACTCGGCTCCCACAATACCTTCTAAGACAATCTCAACAATTCATGTGATTCATTTAGAAATATTTCAATTTCTATTACATAGGTTGTTTTAGTAATATATTTCGCTTCGAAATTCTTAAAGAGAAATTTCTTAACTTGTGCAATAAATCACGTACATTATTGACAAGCAAAATATCACCAATATACAAAATCATAAATATAAACTTGCTACCACTGATCTTTGGATATGTACACTAATCAAAAATATTTTCTTTAAATCCAAAGAAAAAATAGTATTATAAAACTTAAGATACAATTTTTAGAAAGCTTGTTTAAGTCCACAAATTGATTCCTTAAGTTTGCAAGTCACATTTTCATTTTCCTCAATAGAAAAACCTTTGAGTTGATTTACCCAAAATTCTTCATCTAAACTCTCTTTCAGAAAATTAATTTTCATATATATTCAACTCAATATCATAATGAGTTACTAATGCCATAATGATTCTAAATCAGCCCTTTAAGATACAAGTGAAAAAAGAATATCTCATTGTAATCAATGTCTACTTTATGAGTAAAACTTTGGCCACATATCTAGCATTATACCATTTTATATTGCCCTTAGAACAATAAATATTTTTTTGTATCCTTAGGCAATTCAATGAAATCTCAAATTTCATTCTGGTCCATTGATTTCAACTCATCATTCATGACATCAATTCCTTTAATAGAATCAATACTTTTTATGGCTTGTGACAATAAAATCGAGTCTTTACTTATCCCAATATTATAATAAGATTTTTATAGATATACTACATAATCATTCGAAATGATAAACCTCTTTACCTTATGAGATCTTCTTAATATTATTTTTTGTGGTTCTTGTACAACTGTTTATTGGTGATAATTATATTATGGAGTAATTGATTATTCATTTGTTGTTCCAAGACATTAAGTTGTTTAACAACTATAGGAACAACAATTTCCTTCAAATTATGAATAATGATACTTGTACCCAAACTTATTGAATAATCACATTTCATGATTTATCACTGCCACTGATTTCACCATTCTTATAAAATTTGATATTATCGATTTCTGCAATTCTTGTACTATGGCCAAGATAGTAAAACTAATACCCTTTGAATTTTCAAGATAATCAACAAAATAACCACTGATTATTTTGAAATGCAATTTCTTTTCATATGGATCAATGATTCTAGTTTTCGTAGACAGCTCCAAGCATGCAGGTGTCTTAAGTTCAGTTTCATTCCTGTTTATAGTTCAGAATGAATGTTTGGAACTACCTTACTAGGAGCCGGATTTTATATGAAAACAATAAATCAACGACATACATCCACAATGTTATGGGTATTTAGAAATTATTTAACATACTCTTAGTTAAATTCATATATTCATTAGAGTACAATAAATTATTTAAAATATTCAGCTACATCATTCTGCTGAGGCATTCACAAATATTATGTCTTTCATAGAGTTTAACAAATAGACTTGTGCTTTACATTATCTTTATGATTTTCATATTTTTTGTTTAATTGCCTTTCTTTCTTGATAATGTATACCTCAATGATATCAATTTACTAGAGATCTTTTATGCAATAAATAAACAAAATCATAAAGTGAAAATTCGTCTATAAAAATGATAAAATAATTTTATTTACCAAACATGAAGTGTCAAAATGGTACATTAATGACTATTTGGGTAATATGAAAAAGCCATGTATATCTTGTGACACTTTACATAATGTGATTGAATTGCTTTTCCTTAATGCAACTTATACTCCTACTAAAAGCAATACAATTTAAGTTCAAAACAATCTCATCTTTATTAGTTTTTATAACTTTTTTTTTTTTTATAAAAAAAAGTACAATCTTTTATGCCACAAGTTTGTGGAGTTTTCATTTATCAAGCTATATTTAAGACCAACATAATGATGCAAGTTAAATTAAATTTTTGATAAATCATTAAATTTTAATTTATACAAACCATCATAAATAATACCAAAATCAACAGAAAAGGTATTATCAATAAATTAAACTTTTATTCTAAAATTTTGAAAACAACCAGCAAGGTTGATTAAGTTTGGACAAATCAATAAATAATTTTCAAAATTAGAATGAACATAAATTTTTGAAATAGAGTCTAAATAATGATCAATTTCCAAAAATAAACAATAAGTCCTAATAATTTCAATTGAGATTTTAACATAATCGGTTTGAAAATAATCTTACATCAAATTAAAAAACATGAATAGTCATTTTCTTTCTTGTGAGACTAAAAATCTTGAACAGACTCATTTTCTTTAGGTGGCTGTTTCTTTATGTCCTTTTATAAGGATTCTCCCTTTCTTTTTGGCTCCTTAAATTACAAGATCAATAAATGATATCTCAATCACTTAAGTTTTGTCTCTTCTTAAATAAACATACTAGTCAGTATAAATGACCCATACTAAAGAGATAAATAATTTAAAATAAATTACACGAAAGCAAACTCATTCACAAATATTCTTAAATTGTTTAATTGAACAGTCAAGTTAGACAATTCAATGACATCCTCATACATCTCATGCATACCATTGAATTTTATGACGGTAAATGTAACCACAAGTGTCCCAGCAAAACACTTATTAGCAGTTCAGAAACATTCTTTCACATTATTTAGCATTATCAATTTAAGGAAGTTAAAACTAAATATTTGCTATAATCATTCGCATAAAAATATAAACTTTATTTGTTCGATCCTTTTATACTTTATGAAAAGTCTTTTCTTTCTGGTATACTGCTTGAATCATAATAGTAGTAAATTTCTCGAATAGTAAACTAAATTTTATTGCTTTTAATGGAGTATGAGTTGCATTAAGGAAAAGCAATTCAATCATATTATGTAAAGTGCCACAAGATATACATGGCTTCTTCATATTGCCCAAATAGACATTAATGTACCTTTTTGACACTTCATGTTTGGTAAATAAAAATTTTAAATCGAGACAATCATAATTGTAATCAAAATTAATTGATATTTACTTAATCGAAAAATCATAATGTTCTGAAATATGAGCTCTGATCCCACATGTAAATAATTTTATGGTGTCATGCATATAACAGCATTCATAATCCAAAATCGTGAACGATCATGATTTTCACAAATAATAACATAATGCGGAAAATAAATAACATACCCGAATCAGTTATGCGAAACCTAATTGATTGAACATAAACCTAATAACAATATTAGTAGAAAACGGTTTCTCTTTCTTGACCCTCTTTAGAATACATTGAATTCGGAATCATTGATGGATAGTCTGAATGTCCTTTTATAGGTAGAGAGAGGACCGGTTTCCCTTTTCAACAATGATTCCACTTTTTCATCAAAATAGGATACTTGGAAAACACTCTTATTTATTTACCAATTAATTGTAACAAAAATATGGAATCATAATCCTGCCAAATCTATAATTCATATTACCATATCATGTGGGTCAACATAATGACTAAATAATTAATTTAGCTTTACAGAGGCCACATGTTTTAGCTATTGATGACAGTTTGGTTGATAGAAAACTCATTGAAAGGCTGCTCACCAACTCTGTATGCAAATGTATTTCTTTTTTCACTTGTGATTGGTTTTCTTTGCTCATTTTTTTTCTTTTTTCTTTTTAATTTTTTTTTTATGATTGATCCAATTTTTAATCATAAAAGAAATAAAATTTGACAGCCTCTATTTTATCTGTTTTATAATGGGATGGTTTTTTTTTTGTTTGGAAAGTGGTTTGACTTTGTGGCTATTTTTAGTTTGGTGCTAAAAAGTTCATTTGGATTTGATTTTTTAATATTTTTTGACTTTTACGAAAAAAAAAGTGAAATGATTATATTTGTATATGATATTTTATCTTATTAATTTTTTTAATTAATTTATTTGTTTTTGACTAAATTAACACCCAATCTGGGGAAAAAAAATGAGGGCTAAGGCTTGTCAACAGTAATTGTTCTTCGAACCCAATAGATCAAACTAGGCTCAAGTTTATAACTTTAGAGAAATAAAAAAGGATTTGCTTATTGACCCTTCATTAGGGTGATGAGTTGGCTTTTTGACTTTTAAAATTTTTAATTATTTTAATGAGATCGTTTTTTTACTTTTAAATTTTTTTAGTTATTTTAATAAAAATTCTCGTCTAGGATGAGTTTTTTTGACTTTTTTGATTTTTTTGAGAAAAAAAAGAAAATGATTATGGTTTGGATATAACATTTTATCTTATTAACTTTCTAACTTATTTTGTCTTTATGTGATTAAAATAGCTCTAACCTCACATGCCAAAAGCCTCAAAAGGTTTGGTCTTCGGTTTTCAGTTTTTGGAAATAATTTTTAAAATTTTTAATTCATATTTTTATATTTGTAATGACTTTTTAAAATATTTTAATTAATTTGTTTTAAAATTTTTAGATTTACTTAATCTTAATATACTTAAAAAGTAAAACAATTTGTATAAAAATTTTTAAAAAATTCATTGAATATAATAAAATATAAAAATGTATTAAATTTTCGTATTTTTTTTTATGTTTTTTTTTTATATTTGGTGATTTTTTTAAAAAAAATTCACAAATATTATATATGTTAAGTGTATTTTGATTAGGTATATCTAAAAAAATAAAAAAATTGTATAAAATGTTAAAAAAATTTACTAAAAAAAAAAAACACAAAAAACAAAATATAGACTTAATTTTCTGGAACCAAACATGATGAAATCTTCCGCTATTGCAATATATCTTTCAATTCATAAATAACTTTATATGACGAACTAGTGGACTCAATCACTCACCTTTAACTCTTCAATTTTAGTTTTCTGTTAATTTTGATCCATGCTAAGTCAATTCCCTAGTTACATTTTAGTGTATAGTTGTTGTGGATTTTAATAGCTTTGTTTGACTTTGATATAGAACATGGTTATGATTGTAATGCAGTGACTACAGTAGAGAATGGGCAAAGGGCCTTGGAATTTTTGGGCCTAGGAGATGGACAACAGTCCATCAACAATAGTGTAAGTATTTCTTCATAACCTACTACAATATATGTATGTCTAGTAAACTACCTTAACATCTAATTATATTCAACAGTATTAAGAGAGAAAATGCATCATTGGAGAATATAAAATCTCGGATCTCAAGTCCAAAAAATTATCGATTGTCATGAATCATAATGTCATAAATGAATTTAACACCACTCATTTGTGTAGGTCTACATAGCTATCACATAAAAACATGACATTTGATTAATTTGTAGCATTGTCACACTAAATAGTTACTCCAACTCTCTCTCCCCCACACGATGCGCCAAGATAATTAATTAGAACTTTGCACATCATGTGTGATGAGGAGAGTGTTTTTAAGACTCGGATACATGAAAAATCAAGGCAGAACACATTCATTTCAAATAATTCTTTTTGGAAAACATCCCACTTGTGGAAAATGATTTAAGGCAAATGAACTCTATGTTCTTGCACTATAATTTTCTACAGTGTACACTAGAAATTAATTTTCAACATAGCATGTCTCTTGGAGAAGATGTTGAGTGTATCTAACATTGACAATTTTTGCAGGACTCCAAAGTAAATTTGATAATCATCAATTATTGTATGCCTGGAATGTTAGGGTATGAGCTGCTTAAAAAAGTCAAGATAATATAATAATACAACCAAACATTCACCAATTAATCAACAACTCACATTGATTAAGCATCTGTGAGTATGCTACAATGCTTAGAACCTATGATTTGCCAAGTAAAAATCTTTTTTTTTTCTTTTTTTCCTGGATGACAAGAATCATCAGACTTGAAAGAGATACCAGTAGTGATAGTGTCATCTGAGAATGTCCCGACTCAAATCAAGAAGTAATCACTCACTCTTACACTCATCCTATTTTAGCACACTTATTAGTTATTAATTTTAATTTGTCCTTTTCTATAAGTTGCCTGTGTATTAATTCACTTCAATTTTGTTGACATGAACAGATGCTTGGAAGAAGGAGCTCATGAGTTCATGCTGAAACCTCTCCAACAATCAGATGTGAAGAAGTTGAGATGTCACATGATGAAATTCAAGGGAGGCTATGCATGGGAAGGTAAATGAAGCACACCATAATAGAGAGGAAGAGATGTCACATTATGGTAGCATTTCTTTTCAAGAGGCTTTGGAGATAGAGGGATCAAGTTCTTTATGAATGTGCAATTTTTGAGAGTTCATGGAATTTGATGTGAGCATATGCATTTTTTATTTTTATTTTTTGTGACTGGTTGGTTCTTTTTTATTTTTGTTATGAATGCTAGTGATCCTGATGATAACTTTGTTGGTTTGGGGTTGGCCTAGACTGTTGCACATTTTGTTTTGCATTTGTACAAGTAGGGAATTCGATAGAAAGCATGGGATGTATGATTCAAGTGGATTCTTTGATCTCTTCCCAATCATGGGCAGGTTTGGTTTACTTGATCTCCTCCTAGATTGATCCGAATCAAATTGGATCAAAATGAATGATGTATTAAAATTAATATGAATGTTATAGTTAGATTAACATTTGCAATGACAATGTTGATCGAATAAAATGATATGTTGTCCTTTGAAGCAACCAACTCTTTGTTCTCTCTTTTAAACAGGCAACTAACCTTATATTGGCAAAGTGTATCCATTCAACTGGAAATTGTGTATTCATTTAATTGACAATTGAACTCTAACATTAACAAATGACAAATACAATAATCCATTTGGAATGAAAATATTAATTTCATTTATTAGCATTACCAAGACATAATTTTCAGCAACTTCTACATTTGCCAAACACGAGAATAACAAAATAGATCACTGCCACAACTTAATCAAACAAATTTTAGTATGATCTTGTTTAACAACTAAGAAAATAAAATTACATCCATGAATGTCATTCAACACCAAAAAAAGGAAACAAAACGGCATTGTCTTGTTCTAAATCAAATGGCATCCCCAGTTTCTACTTTCAACCATAGTTGTCTAACTCATCAACAACATTGTTTTGTTCCACTAGCTGTAGCATACCATAAAAAACAATAAGTAATAACAATCATATAAAAAAGTAGAAATACTTATACAACATATATAATCTCATCTTTCATCCATTGATGGGTGTCAATCTAATAGATTATCTTTGAGTTCATTGACTTAACTTTCCTTTGGCGCTGTTTCATCAAGAGTGAATTTCTTCACTTTTTGTAGAGATAAAAGACATGAAATGTGATGAGAGGCAAGCTGTTACGCACATGAGTATAAAATAAGCACAATACGATGTTTCAGAAATCCAATGATACAAGAATTAAAATGATGTTAAAACACAAAATTAGCACTGACTTTCAGATAGTCAGATCTTTATCTGATGCATGAGGAAATTATTTATGTCCTAGAGTCATTGATTCATCAACTTCCACAGCAAGCTTAAAGCATACTATGCAGGGTTCTTCGGAGGGAAACAATAAGCAAAAGAGTCATGCAATTGAATTTACCAATATAAGTAAAAAGAACAAAGGAAGCATTAAGTAGTGACAACAAATTTTATGGTATAATAGAGTGATGAACTGCAATTGAAGAGATGAAAAGGAAAAAAAGAAAAAAAGAAAAAAAAAAACACAACCACATCACAATAAAATTTATTTGCTGTTGACTATTGAATATAGGGACAATCAGCACAAAATCCTGGTTACCAGCATTTTCATAAAGCAAGATATGTTTTCAATACAAATTGCTGAACTTTGGGAACTTGAAAACTCTCCCCTAAGTTGCACAGACAAAAGCCCAATAAATCCACAATAAAAGCCCCCTTTCTTCTTCTTTTCATTTCAGAAAAAAGTTTTTTTTATTTGCCTCTGGATATTGGAAGAGGCCTCTAGGCGAGGAGAGGCGGCGGTGAGGCGAGTGCAGGCAGTGAGAGACGAACTTAGAGGGCGATGTAGACTGCATCAATGTGTTGCACCTGCTGAGTATGGTTGCCATTGCCAAGGAAAATTTCATGGTCATCATCAGAATTTTCTTTCCAATTCAAAATTTAAATTTGTGTCCTACAATATGGAAGGAATTCATTAAAATCTAATTATTTTTTATTTTTTAAAAAGTTTATTGGTTAACTCTAATTTAAGCACAACAATTAAACTCTAATTATTCCATAAATTATGATTTTTAAAAATAAATATATTTTTCCATTTCAAAATTTATAATTTTGTGTCTTAAATATGATAAACAATTCAAATGGTCACGTAATTTATGCTACAACTAATATAGAAATCTTTGTCAAAATTTATAATAGCATTCTTTCAAAATTCAATATGGTAAGCTTTCAAAATTACATTTAAAAAAATCAAAATCATTTTTATTTTTATTTATTTTCAAACCCACGTACTAAATTTCTTGATTAATTTTTATTTATTATTAAAAATTTAAAAAAAAATTCTATTGGGTTACACTTTTGCAACAATAAAAATATAACTATCTAATGATTTATGAAATTTAAAAGGAAAGTATTCTAACCCATTTCGAAATTCAAAAGTGTGCCATCTACCCATTAAAATAAATAAAAAAAAATAAAAAAAATTTAATTTCTCATCATTTATGACTTTTAAAAGGAAATAACATTAAATCAATTTTAAAATTGTGTATCACAAATTATGAGAAGCAATGCACATCTCCCATAAATTTTTTCTCTTGCACTTATTGGATTCAAGTCAAATTAGAGTCGGTATTCATCAAGTATTGTAATTGTTAGTGATTGGTGTAATTGTGAAGAATTCAATCGATAAATTTATTCACTGTAAGTTTATGTTTTTTTTTTATAAAGATCAATTTCTAATCTTTAGTCTCCCGCATCCTTATTTCTATTATGCATCTAACAATTATGTTAATTTCTAAAAATTTATTGCATGCTTATTTTTTCTAAGTGTATTTTTATAAAATAAATCTCCAATTTCTTCAGTCATGGTTCAATGGTTTAAAATCTATATTTATCAAGTGCATAAATATGAATAACATAGACTATTGAGAAAATGTGCATATTTATTCGCAATATAACCAGTAACAAATTTTCATTATAAGTTTCTTCTTGTTCTGGAGGATACATATGATTGTAATATTACTCATGCGTTTATATTTTGTAATTTCTATGATTTCATATTTCAAAATTTCTATAATATTTTTTTAATTTTCAGATTTTATAGTTGGTGCATTTTTTCTTGAATAATGTTATACTTATTATATTTTATTGTGTGACTAAGTTTATTTGGTTGTAATTTTAAATTATAATTTATTTGATATTTTTATAACTTATTTGGCTAAAAAAATAGAGGTTTTTGTAGACGTCCCCGAACGCCCCGGGAGGGCGAGTCCCGTTCTGTTCATTTGGGGTCACTACAGCTCAGGACTCTCAAATTGTCACGGTTCTTAATCTGAACCAAATAGTCCAAATCCGGCAAATCGTTTTGAGAAAAAAAATTTTGAAAGAAGTGCCAAACATGGACTGCTTTGCCAGATACAGAGTCGCCACCTAAATGTTTTATTTTGGGGAAATTTAGGAAACCCTGACTCGTTTGCCTAAGGCCACGTGTCCGTCATCACCAAAGTTGCCTCGGCTCGGGAACTTGGGTATGATTGGGGAAGGTCACTTCGTGAGCACCCCCGCTCGCCCGATCAAAGATCCTTTAAGACAGAATTTCATCCTCTCCAATAGTGCTCAAGACCAATGGGTGTCCTGTCTGCAACAGATAACAATCACCACAAGTAAAAGATTTCACTCTCTTTGATTGTACAACGAACCAAAGTTTCTACTTTGCACTCAAAACACTAAGACTTACGAATGAACAATGTATGAAAGAAAGAAAGGAATTTCGAAAATTCGGAATAAAGAAATATGGAATGGAGGCAGCCTTTATATAGGCTTGTTGGCACCTATTAGGTTGCGTCCATTTTGGCTCTGGACAATTCTTGAATTCATGAATGCTCTAGAGAATTTAGCATTTTCAATTCTCATAGAACCGGCCCAGTTTACACTCATATAGATGACTCATTAAAAGTATCCTGCCATACCCCACTTGAATTTCCAAGCTATGAGTCTCATTAAAAGCAAAGCTTAACCTATTTATAGCTACAAATAATCACTATCTCATCATAGAAATGAGAGATTAAGAAATAAACTCCCTTAGTGATTTCTAGTGAGTCATCCATAATTCAATTGTCCCTTTGAATCTAGATTTTGGGATATCTAGTCAGCAAGATTGGGCTGCCATTATGGTGACTCGAAATTAATAGGCTTTAATCACATTCCCCTCGATGAACTTTCTCTCATTTGCTCTCTAGCCAAATTTTTTGTTTAGTGGCCGCTATTTTCTGTTTGACATTCTTCTTTATATATCATTGAGTAATTAGTAGATCCACCATATTGTTCTCAAACAAAACTCACATCTTAGAGCAAATGTCATATGGTATTAAGTCTATGAATAAGTCGAGACTTACC